TTGCTTGCCCTTCCCAGTATGGAAGCTCCACTGTAAGAGCAGCTGGAGTGAGGGTAATCTAGCCCCCGTATTCTCACCCTACCATGCCTGAGGTAGAGGCTGGGAGTGGGCATAGGGGTCCTCAGGCTTCTGTCTGTGCCTTCTGCAACACAGGCTGGGTGAATGAAAAATGCCAGCAACCTGACCCTCCATGGTAAAACTGGGCACAAGAGAAAAGAGAACCTGTCTTTTTGGCATGATAGGTTTAAAGTAGAGTGTTCTTGATAGAGCTTTTGTTTCTTCAACTTGGAACAAGTATGATGAGGACAAAGGAGCAGGTAATGGCCCAAATGTCACAGATTTTCACTCTTCTTACCAAAATTTAATATATTTTCTTGAATAAAGTGTTTCTCTATTTGTTATATGTCCTTAGGCTCATTTCTAGGAATTTTAAATAATTTATTTTTATAATTTTTACAAGCTAAATGGTGATTTTGCTGGGGAAAATATGTGCCGGGCTGCCCCCTCTACTATTCTGGAAGTCCACTTCTCAATCTGATTTTGATTTTGATGAATTTACAATATGACTTTAGGCTTTGGCCACCTATCATTTGTTTGAAATATATTGAATTATGGGGTTATGAATATATTTTTTCTTTTATGAATATGGCTGAAAAAAGGTTATATTTATAGATAAACAAGGATCCCAGTGCATGAATCTGTGCACTTTGAAAGGAACTGTGGGCCACAAGGCTGTGGTAGGCCCAGGGACAATTCTCAGACCCTCTTCTGCACCCCCACCCAGACCCTCCACTGTGGCCCCTGGTCCCCTGTCCACTAGCAGCCCCACTTACACTGCCACTGCTCTCAAGCACTGATGACACCAGCCCTGCTTGCACCAGCCCTGCTCGCACCTGCTGATGGTGCGGAGCAATTGGGGCCAGTGTCGGCAGAGGGTGTGAGCAGGGTCAGTGCAGTCAGCAGTTTCAAGCAGCAGCTGCCACCCTGATCACCCCTCAGGAACCAGGGGAGGTGGAGAAGCCCTCAGGGTGATCAGGACCAGAAGCACTGTTCACACTCGCTGATGGCGTCCAGTGATCAGGACCAGCGCCAGCAGCAGGTGTGAGTGCTAGGCAGGATTGCAGCATGGGGGAGCAAAGCATTTTCAGTAACCACCAGAGGCTTGCCCCAATGACAGCCACTGGTGCTTTGCCTTTGTCTGACACCCCCGCTCACCTGCTCCATCATCCTGCTGTGGGCCAATGCCTGCCATGTTCTGCACACACCTCTAGTGGTTAGCGCACATCATAGAGATTGGTTGTTCGGTTGTTCCACTGTTCAGTCTATTTGCATATTAGCCTTTTATTATATAGGATATGGAGATTAGTACCACAGGTAAACCTGTTTTGATACTTAGGTTACTTTGGCTTAGAAGGCTCTTCCTGTTTATCCAATCTTATCATTCTTTACTCACTTTATACTAGTTCATAAGACTTCATTTTGAGCCTCAAATATGAAGCTTATTCCCAATTTATGGCTTTTGTTGCTGCCTTTGCTTGACATAATTTTTCCTACAATCTTTACTTAGATTATTTTTATATTCATTGCAGTATTATTCACAATAACCAAGATATGGAAACAACTTATGTGTCCACAAATGAAAGGATAAAGAACATGTGAAATACACACAACACAAATACTATTAAGTCATAAAAAAGTAAAATTTTGCCATTTGTAACAATATGAATGGATCACGAGGGTATTACGCTAAGTGAAACTGTCAAATACATAAAATCTCAATCTATGTGGAGCATGAAACAAAAACAAAATAAACAAAACCAAAATTAAACTCATGGAGGCAGACAAAATAGGTGAAGGACATCAATTGTATAGTAGCATATAGAAACTAAGCCTTTGGTGGTGAGTACAATGTGGTATATACAGACATCTAATTATAATGTTGCACACCTGAAACATGCAAGTTTATAAGCCAATATTATCTCAATTAAAAAAAATTCTTTGGAGTCATATGCAGTGCTTAGAGCTGCTATTTTCCCCCTTACTTTCTTCCAATCTCTCTCACTCCAACAATTTAATGGAAGCTACTATAAAGCTATCTGGGACAACAGGTGGGAATCCCACCTACTTATACTCTATCCTGAGTTATTATTTTCAACTAAGAGGTTTGGGTCTTTGTCCAAAAGTGTTATTAAACTTCATGTTTTATTATTCAAGGTTATCAAAGCAGATAGCTTTGCAAAGATGCAAGGACCTATATTTCAGAACTCTCCATTCTCTTTTATTTTGCCTTGAAAACCATCTAGTTTGGTGAGCTCTTTTTTCTTTAGGGTAACTTACCAAACAGAGTGCAGTGCAATTAATACTCTCTTAATTTGCAACTATAAAACTTAAATTGCCATTTTTCCAATCTCTGACATCAGTTTTCCCATGTGGTCACTAAGATGAGACCATATTTAAAGTTTTTGTTATGGAACCAAATTCTGTATTTATAGCATAATTAATCCTAACGTCTATCTCATATAAACCCTGAAATTTCAATAGCTTAGCACAGTAAGGATTCATCTTTCTGTCATCTAAGAACCAATGTGTGTCAGTAGGACCTTGAGGATATGTTAATGGAACACATGGCCTCCAGGATCTACATTGCAGGGGAGAGAAGGGTGATCTTAATTGCTTTCACGCTCAAGTGATGTTTCACTTTTGCTCAAAGTCAGATGGACATAAATAGTAACATAATTCCTACATAACTACATGGGAAGCAGGTAATGCAATGTATGACATTGTTATTTTGAATCAAAATTAAGTCCAAATGTATGAGATTCAAAAGTCTACTTTTTGTCCATCAAATTATATTTACTTTTATTTTAATATAATCTTAACCCTCTTTATTCTTGGTAAGAAGAATATTAAAAACATTTTTAAACTAATTTGAGCTATTATACTGATACAAAAGTATTTTTTTGCTTTTAATTTTAAATGTAGCAACAAAGATTTCTAGTTTTATATGCATGTGTCTGTTCTATTTGTTTATGTGAAGTGATTTAGTTGATACTATTTTATATTCTGGGCTAAAATTCAGTTATTCCAGCAAACAATTTAGAAGAAAGGAAAAAACTGTTAAAATTGCCTAAAGCACAAGTGGAGTGAAATCAGCAAGATATGATAAACTGAATGAATTTGAAAAACAAATGTTGAAGGCAGAAAATGTAAATATAAAAATCTCCTCTCAAGTCTTCATATCAGACTCCTAGGTGGATTTAAAGCAAGACAAATTATGTAATGGGGGCAAAATGAAATATTATATAAGTCTGACCAGGCACTTTGACATAAAGGCCCTCAAATAACAAACGCTTTGACTTTACATTTTGAATAAGAAAATAGCAGTTTTGTTCTCAGAAATGTGTTTCATAGCAGCAAATACTTTTTGTAAAGGATTTGAATTTACTTCCTCATAACTATATTTTAAATATAAATGCTTTTCTGATATAGCTACAGAAGATGGGTTCATTTTTCAGCTATACTTACTAAAAAAGGATTAAAAAACACTAACATAATACACACTTTAAGGGTTACAATGTCTGTCTACTATGCCATATCCGTTTAGTAAAAATCAAGGTATTTATATATTTAATTTATTTTTTTAAATATATTTTTATTGATTTCACAGAGAGGAAGGAAGAGGGAGAAAGGGAGAGAATCAACGATGAGAGAGAATCATCCATTGGCTGCCTCCTGCACACCCCCTATTTGGGCAACCTGGGCATGTGCCCTGACAGGGAATGGAACTGTGACCTTCTGATTCATTGGATGATGCTCAACCACTGAGCAACACTGGCTGGGCTTAATTACTTTTTTATTTTATTTATTTATTATTTTTTTTATAATCCTCACATGAGGATATTTTCCCATTAATTTTTAGAGAGAGGGAAAGACAGAGAGAAATATTGATGTGAGAGATAAATTGGTTACCTCCTGCACACGCCTTGACCAGAGCCCTGGCCAGTGAGGAGCCTGCAACCAAAGTGCATGCCCTTGACCAGAATCGAACCTGGGACCCTTCAAGCTGATGCTCTATCCACTGAGCCAAACCGGCTAAGGCTTAATTTCTTTTTAAAAACAATTTTTTAATTGAATTTATTTATTGACATTGGTTATTATAAAATAGAAAAAGCATTCATGAAGTATCATGTCTCTTTAAAAACCAGAACTGCAGTGATATATCATTTTCATAAAGAAAAAAATATTTGATAAGGCAATATAAGATAAAAACTAGAAGGAGTAATAGGTGTAACTTAAATTAAAGAAGATAAACATATAAATTTATTACAAGCAAATAATTAGTAAAACTGGTATTTGGATAATGTTTACAACAAAAGCAATAAACTGTTTTTACATAATTTGATAATAAAAGACAATATAATACTTATCCTTATTCACAAGTTATAGACAGGGTCCCCACATAGCATAGAGACAAATACATTCTCTGAGATCACAGTTGAAGAAATGATAGCCTTTAACATTGCTTTAGTCAGTAAGCAGTTTTGAAGAATTCAGCAAAATGAAAGGCTAAAGTAGAAATAACTTGAAGAAATATGTAATGCAATTGGAAACAGCAGTGGTATAAGATTTTCAAGCAAGTTAAACAGCAGTGGTATAAGATTTTCAAGCAAGTTAAATGTATAAGGAAGCAAAATTAACCCTAATTTATTGTATGGTTCAGCTGTAATATTTAGATAGTCATAAAATTAAAATATTAAATATTAGTTAACCCCCAAATAGTGATAATATAATTCTATTGGGATAATATAGGAGGAGCGCGTAAGCATGTATATTAGGAATGCATTTTTTTTGTAAAATGTTAAATGAGATATGAATATTTTATGTAGAGTGCTCAACTTAAATCTCATAGTCTTAATTAACATGTCCAATTTCTGAAAAATTTAATTACTCTTCATCAAAATCTATTCTTCAAATATAATTTAAAAATCCATACAACTAACCTTTTTGAATGAGATGTCTTGATTTTTTGCCAATATCTTTTGTCTTTAATTCAGATAAAAGAGAGGAAATATGTTTTCTCTGTTTATTAGAACTTATTAAATCAAGAGAAGAAAGTATATGCTGTGGAAACAAAATAAAAGCAATGACACCAATGATAATCTCATATATATTTTAGAGTTATCAAAGACTTCTCACTTCTTAAACATCATCATTGATTTTCATTTTAAAACAACAACAAAACCTGTGAGACAAGCAAGAGTTAGGAAAGGCGAAAAGAATGCCATTGTGTGTTATTTGGATTAATTACTTTTCTATTAAGAGTTAATGACAATGCTCTAAGAGATATTGAATAAAAGAGGGCATTTCAGGAAGATGGTATAATTAAAGGAACTAAGGGGGAGGAGAAATAAAGAAATAAACTGAGAAGTATTGAGTGTTTAGTGACGCCCAGAAAGCCTAAAGGAAAATTCAGAGTAAGAAAGGAGATGAAAAATTGCTTCACAGAACACTAAAAGGTAGTAAAAAGAAAGACAGAGAAATTGGATACGAATCATCACAAGTCAGACATGTGTGGAAGGAATAGATATTGAAAGGAGCTTCCCAGAGAATGGGCCACTTTCAGATATAAACTGGGCACTATCTGTAAAGTGGTTGGAAATGTTTTAATAACTAATACTAGTTATCCCTTTTCTCTTCATAGTCCATCCAGGAGTGATTCAGAGGATCCATGAGGTCAAGAACTCAGGCTCTTTAAAAAACTGTCATCTCTACCTTACTGCATCTAACTGGCTTTTACACCCAATGTTGACTCTGGAATAAAATAGCTATAGTTAAGCTCCAAACACAATATGTGTATCTCAGTCAGCAATTTGGAGAAAGGGTGAAATGATAAAATACAGGCCATGTATCTTAAGAAACTTTCCATCCACATCCTTTCAAATAACTTTAGTTTATTTCTCATTGGTCACCCGTAACTACAAAGGAGAGTACAAAAAATACAGCCTTTTGCTAGGTAATTTGCTGCCTGACGTAAAATTGAGGATCTCTTATATATATAAAAAAAGACAAAGACAGATATTGGAAGGCAATCAATAACAGACTGCCATATTAAAAAAAAAATCTTGGGAGAGGATATACATTTGTATTTTGAAAAACCATGCTATTATGCTTTCCTTGACTAGAACCACTGGTCTTAATTCTGAAGACTAAATATCTATCTTCAAATAAATCTCCTTTGGGAGATGTTTGCTTCTGTTTATTTGTGTCTGGGATACGTGTATAGTGCTTATCATTTGTCACTGTTTTAAAGCCCTGTATAAATATTAATTTACGTCATATTCATAACGATCATGAGCTATGCTCTTTTACCTAGAAAATGTCAGACATTTTACACTCAAGAAAACTGAAGTCATAACTTTCCTCTAAACCTACTATACTTCTAGTTTTGATGACTAGCACCACCTTCATCCATTGGGAGAAAATTCACATAAATTCTCTAATATGTGATAGCTGGCAGAATTTTAAAATAGGTAACTCATTATCATATCCACCTTGACCTGTCCACTTGTGCAAACATCCTTATTCTATAAAATAACAGAGACACTTGAATATGTGTCTTGGTCCCCTGTATTTACAATTTTCTGCCCAAATCCCTTTATCATACAATAGATACATATTTAAATAAATATCCTTGAATTTCTATATTTTAAATTTTATATGTTATATTCTCTAATTTATTTATTGAAAATGATTTGTTTCAATGTGATGACTCACTGTGCAAGAATTTTTGAATGTTCATGACAGATATAAACTGGTCTTAAAATAAATCTCAATTTTTGTTTTTCACTAAAAAATTTTTTGCTAATCAATTCTTACATTTACATGACAAAAATATATTTTTGATAGAAAAATAAATAAGTAGGTACTTTTGAGCTCCTGTATTCTTTTTATAGTTATATTTTCTTACAGTTGCCAAGAATAATTTTAACATAATACATAACGTCAACACTATCAAAATATAACTTTTAATAATGCTGCTTCTATTTTCATCTGGGTTCAAATCTTTCTATTAAACAAAGTAGGACAAAAAATGTAGACATCTGTTTTGCAACCAAATCTGTAGCAACCAATTGCAAATGCTTTTCAACCTCAAATTTACCCATTCTTAACTCTTCAACTTATGTGATCATTCTTGTATTTTCTTACTTCTAGACATTTTCCTCTATTTTAGTAATCTCTTTGTCTGTCCCTCCTAACAATATAATTCATCAAAAATCTTTACCATGCTACCTTCGAAATGTATTTCCAATCTGTTCACTTCTATTTTTATTTCACTTCTAGTCTAAACTAGTCTAAACTATAAGAACTGCCTCCAACCATAAATAGCCTCATATAGGTCTCAGTCTTCATCTTGGCTTTAACAATACATTTATTAAAGTACAATACATTTATTAAAAGTACATCTGATTATGCTTCTCTTTAGTTTTTTTTTCTTTTCCTTAGCTTTAAATACTCTGCTAGACTGCCTAAGGTGCTCAATCTTTACCATAAGCCTGAAAACAAAACAAAACAACAGCAAAATATGGTCCTTGACCACACAGCCAAACTCATCTCATTGCTACTAGACTTTGTATATTATACTTCTACCACACTGGATTTCATTCAATCCTTGAACCCAACTCAAATTAAACAAGATATTGCATGCCTCAATTCCTTGTGCAAGCTCTTCTCTCTGCTTAGACCACTCCTTCCTATACTCTGCATGGCTAACTTGTTACTGTTCAGATCTTAACTTTAAATATTATCTCCTCAGAAAAACATTCTGTGACAATCTTGTAAAACGTAGACTTCCTCCTACAATTCTCTATCTCAATACCCTATTTATATAGGTTATAATTTCAAATTGAGAGAATACAATGCTAGCTCAAGAATAATAATAACTGATACTAGCTAGATAAAGTAAAGGGCATGAGGAAGTTTCAGAGTGTACAGGTTTGTTTCTTTGAAAATCTCTCCAAAAATGTTATTCATTAATTATTACTTTTATGACAGTGCCATTCTACTCATAATACTCTTTCCTAATACATGTATTACCTTGTATACTAGTTAACAAATTATATGGTGATAATTGAGGATCATTCTGTATTGGATTATCTAAAGATCACTCTTTAAAAATAATATAATGAACACTACATAATGAATATTTTTTTGTTCAGAACTGTCAAAGGGCTAGTGTATTCTACCTTATATAATAGTTAAGAACATTTCTCACTCCTAGAAGAAATTATACTGTAAGAGTACTGGGAGTATGTTTACTTATCTCAATATCCCTGCACCACTTTGAATTCTTCAACCTCTGTTGGAAGTACTAACTCACAAATGGCAGCAATAAAAATATTGATTAGTTTGAAAGTTTATTAGTTTATTCAACAAATATGTATTGAGTGCTAATTAGTATACCCATGACTAGGCTAGGCATTGTCACAAAGTTATTATTTTGTGAATATTTAAATTCTATACTTCTCAAAAATATTTCATAATTTAATGACATCCTCTATTGGATGTGAAAAAGATGAGAAGCAAGAGAAAGACATTGAAACTGAGAAAAACACAGTAAAAAGCACAGGCTGAATGCTACACACACTCATGATAAAATTATGTATTTTTATTAAACCACATTTATTAACTCAATTAGTTAAAATAATATCGGGTCTAGTAATAATTAATATCGTTTTTAACATTCATTTAAAATCTTGCTTGGCGTTGACTTGTATTGACATAACCTTCAAACACGTGGTATCTACAGAAAGTGTGAAGTGCAATTAACAAGTTTTGCTTGAAAAAATTTGTGTTTGGTTTGGTTTTTGTTGCAAAACTAGGGCTAAGAAGATGGCGGATGAAGAGCATATTCGGCACTGCATGCTTTACGAGTTCCAATTAGGAAGAAAAGCAAGTGAGGCTGCAAAAAACATCTGCGGTGCTCTTAGTCAAGATGCAGTTAGCGCCAGAAAATGCCAGCGTTGGTTTGAGAAATTTCGAGAGGGAAATTTTTCGTTAGATGACAAGAGTGGTTGAGGCCATGTGTCCAATTTTGATCAAGAAGCTCTTCAAGCTCTTTTGGTGCAAAATCCTCAAATTACCCAACAAGAGCTTGCGACAACTTTAAATTGTTCATAAAAAACAATTTCCAATCAATTGTGTGCACTTGGCAAAGTCCAAAAGTTTGGAAAATGGGTTCCTCATGAGTTGACCGACAACAACCGTAATCAAAGAGTCACAATTTGCAGTTCGCTCCTCTCTCGTCAAAACCGTTTGCCGTTTTTAGAGCAAATTGTGACCGGAGATGAAAAATGGGAGCTGTATGTTAATTTGAAAAGGTGGCCTCAATGGTTGGACAAAAATGAGGCTCCACAGCCCACGCCAAAACCTGACTTGCATGCGAAAAAAGTGATGTTGTGTGTTTGGTGGAATTTTAAAGGAATTCTTCATTATGAACTTTTACCATCTAACCAAACCATTACAAGTGCAGTGTATGGTGCCCAATTGGAAAGGTTAGCCCAAGCTTTAAGAGAAAAAGAACCCGCGCTGATTAATCGGAAGGGCGTAATTCTTCACCATGATAACGCACGACCGCATACTGCAAGAATCACTGCTGAAAAACTGCACCAGTTGCAATGGGAAGTTCTCCCTCAACCTGCATATTCTCCTGATATTGCCCCTTCCGATTACCATTTGTTTCGTTCTTTGCAAAACTTTCTTCTTGGAAAAAAATTTAATAATGAAGAATGCCTCAAAAATGCATTGACCGAATTTTTTGCATCAAAATCACAAGAATTTTACAACAGAGGGATTAAAATGCTTCCTGAGCGTTTGGCACAAGTAGTAGAAAACAACGGCAACTATATTGTTGATTAAAATTTGTTGTATTGTTTAAATAAATTCGATTTTAAAAAGTATTAGAAAACTACATTAACTATTACTAGACCTAATAGTTTTCAATGCTGTTCAAGTAATCCCCAAAAGACACAAGTTCACATGATGGCGTAAAATTTAATGATGGGCAATTAAACAGTGATTTTTAAAGGAAAAAAAATACATTTTTGTTAAGAGTAAAATATATA